GCCAGGCCTCGGGGGCGCCGCTGAAATATTTCACCTCAGGCGTGGTCTAAGAAGGTCCCGGGCCCACCCTGGAGCACTGCTGGGCGCCTCTGCGGCCGTCTTAGGGAAGCCCTGGGGGCCGGCCCAGGAAACGAAGACGCCGTGATCTTCGCGATGTAGCCGCAGAGGGAATGCTGCACCCCCCCCTCACAAAAGCTCTCGGCTACTCGTCTTCCCCCTCCTCGTCCCTCCCCGGCTCGCCCTCCTCCTCGCTCTCCCTCCTCGCCCTCCTCCTCGTGCTCCCCTCCTCGCCCTCCCCTTCCTCGCCCTCCTCCTGGCCCTCGTCATCGCTTGAGCACCCCAAGGGGGAGCAGCCAGGGAACCAGAACGCCTGCCCATTCACGGCCAGACTGTGGGGATGTTACAGGCGAAGCGACCCGCTTGGCTTCACCGGCCCCTCTCCTTTCAGAGCCTCATGGCCATCGCAATGTAGGAGGCATTCGTGTCGGCACTCCATGGGTGAGCCGCCAGGGGGCAATACACTTGCTGGTTCGAGCCCACATTGTGGGGACGTCTGAAGCGAAACGCCGCGTTTGGCTTCACCGGCTCCTCTCCTGTCAGAACCCTATCGTCTCTGCGATGTAGCAGGCATAACACTTGGGCGCCCCAAGGGGAGCCACCAGGGGGTAGGTCAGCCGACCCCCGCTTGCCAGGGGTCAGACGGCGTGTGCGGTGATTGGCTATTCCCCCTCCCCTTTTCCCCTCTCACCCCCAGTGCCCAAAATCTAAATTTAAGGGGGGGGGAGAAGGGGGGGTTATCCGGGCTCCTCGGCTCACCCCTGGAGACTCCAGAGCTTCCAAGTCTGCCTTCCGTGGCCTCATATACGCTTCCAGACGGTGTGACACCAGCCCGTGCGCAGGCAGATTGTGGGACGTTTCAAGCGAAACACCCCCGACTCCTTCTGTTTGAGTAGCCCTCGAGCACCCCAAGGGGGAGCCCCTGGGGTGTTTGTCTAATGATTCAAAGATTCGTTCGCGGCCAGACTGAGTGCACGTCTCATGCTAAACTAACTCAAACTTGCACGGACACCAACAGACACGAGGAAACGCCAACAGAGACAAGCAGAGATCAGCTACACAATCGGCACCCCAAGGGGGAGCCGCCAGGGGGTACGATACTTGCCAGCTCGTGACGAGATTGTGGGGATGTGTCGAACGCGGCACGTGTCTTGGACCTCCAACGCCTCTTCTTCCAGAGCCCCATGGTCATCGCGATGTAACGGACACGGCACGTGGACGCCCCATAGGGGAGCCGCCATGGGGTAGCATTAGGTCGGGCATGTCCCCCTACAGGCGGGTTTTGGACGAAGAATTGAAGATAGTCAAAAAGATTCTGAACATAATCAAACATAGTTTGAGCAAATCGTCCCGAGAGTATTCTTTACTACTTTTGAATACTCCCCCTGTAGAGGGACAGGCCCGACTTAAGGGCAGCATGCGAGGGACGAGGGAAGGCAGCATGCGGCAGCAGAACGACTCAGAGAGGAGCGCTCTCACAGTGGTGATGCACACGCGCAGCCGCGCCCGGCTTTGCGCAAGCGCAGGTACTCACGGAGGACGGTGCCGCTGCCACGGATGATCACGACACCCCATGGATGCATCGAAGATTGGACGAGCATGCAGCACACGAGTCCGCCGACCCTCGGCGTGTGGAGGAGGCTGTCGTCGTCGTCGTCGTCGTCGTCGTCGTCGTCGTCGTCGTCGTCGTCATCGTCGGTCCTAAGTAACTTGACGAACCAGAGACAGGAACGTCGTAGTGAAGGGGCCCTGGGACACACAAGTAAAAACACACAAATAAAATGATTCCCCATATTTTCCCATATTTTCTGGGTTTTTGTCTTCGCCCCCACTCCCCATATTTTCCCATATTCTCTTGGGAATCGACGATTCTGTGTGTTTTTTCCCTCCTGACGTAGGCAGATCGAAGGGAAGCCCCTTCCCATTTTCCCTTCCCTCTGCCGGAGGGAGGGGGTCCGGGGCAGCATGCCGCCCCCCTGGGTCCCGGCGGGTCCTCCGGGGGGGGGGTCGCCAGCGGGGGCCCCGGGGGGGAACTCGCCGTCAGGGTCGGCGGCGCCCGACGCAAGGCCTTCACAGTAGAGGTGGTACAGATCGCGTGTGCCAGAAATAGAGATCGATAACATCTCACACATCACGATCCTATAAGATGATCGGTGTCAGCTACCTGTGCAAATCGCTGGAAGGAAGCATGCTCATTAATCAGTAAGATAGCGAACCCGATCGCATTATATCCGGTGCATATACACAACCATCTAAAGTGGAGACCAATGTGCACTGAATACGAACATCATGCAGGTAGTGAGTAGATCCGCCGCCGTGCCGTAGGCACGGAGTGGAGTGTCCCATGTCCCACCGAGGCCGCATTTCTGGGCCCCTCTCGGCGCTTTCGGGGCTTCTCGCGTGACTTCCTGAAATGAAGCATATTGCCCCCAATCTGAAACACTTTGCATTTCAAGGTGTTTGGCCACGGAGGGGGAAGCACGAACTTGTCCAGGGAGCCTTCCAGTGCCAGGCTGGCCACCGAGAACGCCAAGAGGACCCGAAGAGTCCCGCCGAAGCGCCCAAGAGGCCACAGGAGGTGTCCAAAATGCCCTGAAGATGTCCCCGAAGAGGCCTCCAGAGGTTTCCACGAGGCCCTACGAGCCTGCCAAGAGGCATCCCAGGAGATCCCAAGAGGCATCCAAAAGGACACTGGCCCATAGCCCTGGCAGGGTTGCGGGATAGGCTGGATGAACGACATGAGATAGACGGACGCGAGGCCATCGCAAACCGAAAGCGGTGCCCATCTCCTGAACCTCCGTGTCAACGGAAAGGCGGTCCCGCATGCAACTGAGTCCCATTTGTCCTGTCATGGTGTGCGCTGCCGCATAGTGTCATGCGTCGCCGCCGCACCCGCGTTCTCATGTAAACTACCGGACGAGTAACGCCACGTGGCCGCCATCCCTGGCTCGCCACTGCGCCCGCGCACCCGCGCTGCGCATGCCCCCACCCCCTGCGCTGCATAGGGGAGCAAGGCTTGGATTCCTGGGTTTGACAAATTTGACATCGGAGCGTAAACAGACCGTGTGGCACCAAGGAAGGATGCAGGCGCCCCGTTGACCCTGCCCCAACTAGGAGGCCTCCCAGATGGGGTCCGAGTAGATGGGGTCGGCAGATCGCGCCGCATCCCCGATGCATCGGCGACGTCACCGATGCACCAGCAACATCAGGGTGGAGACCATCGGGCTCCACATCGAGCATCGGCGATGCATCGGCGATGCGGCGCGACCCTCCGACCCCATCTACTCAGGCCCCATCTGGGAGGGCTAGACCAAACAAACGTCATCGGGTATACATGGTGGCGCAACGCCACAACTGGTGCTAACATTTACAAGAAGGCCTGCGAAACTGAACCAAGGGCTGAATCAAATGATAGAGGTGACGTTGAGGTTGGGGTGGTCCTACCGCTCGTTGAGCGAGGGGACAATTTTGCGCGTGGGGCGTGTGGTTGGCTGAGGCTGTTTGACCGAGCCGCCTGGTCCGCCCGTTCTGCGATGCATCAACAATGTATCAGCGACATCCAGATGGTGAAAACGGAATATCGGATCGCCCCGCTGCGCCGATGTATCGGCGATGCGGTGTGATCCTCTGGCGCGACCTGCTGCGGCATCATCTGGAAGACCGGCGGAGGTGGGTTAGGATCGACAAGAGGAGGGGTGAGTAGTCTTCGCTCGGCTTGGCCCTGCAGGCGTCAAAAAATGTGTCGAAGCAATCCCTCGTCCTCCGACTCCTCGTGCTCGGGATCCTCAGACGCGCCTCGCTCGATCGCTCTTGGACCAAGCTCCAAAACGAGTGGGAGGTCCCCTGCTGTGAGGCCGAACGCGCGCAAGGCAGCATCCCGACCGCTCATGTCCTCCCGCCCCTAGACCGTCGAAGCAGCAGGCACTGCATCAGGCGCGAGAGGGTGTGGGGGGTGAGCAGGAGGAGGGCAGAAGGGGAGAAGAGGGGAGAGGAGGGGAGGCGGGGGGCCGAAGGGACGAGAGGGGAGCGTCAAGGGGAGAAGAGGTAAGAGGGGATGAGGGGGAGATAGACGAGGAGGGGGGGGGGGGGGGGCGCGGCGGATCGGCCTGGCACGCGGAGTGGGCGGCGAGGACGAAAAGAGGCCGAGGAGTGGGGAGAGGAAGGGCATGAAGAGGCCGAGGAGGATGAGGAGGTAGGATGATGATGAGGAGGAGGAGGGGGAGGAGGAGGGGGAGGAGGAGGAGAGGGAGGAGGAGGAGGAGGAGGAGGACGAGGACGAAGCCGAGAAGGGGGACGGGAGGAGGAGCACGAGTAAGAGGATAAGGAGGACGAAAACGAGCAGGAGCACTAGGATGAGGAGGAGGAGGAAGTGTGGATGGAAAGGGGGAAGACGTGGAACGAGGAAGAGGGGAAGGACGAAGTGTGGAAGGGAGATAAGATGGAGAATGGGAAGAGGAGGATGATGAGGAGGAGGAGGAGGAGGAGGAGGGGAAGGACCAAGTCGAGTAACGTGGGAAGGAAGGGGTAGAGAAAGAGGAAGGAGAAACGATGGGAGGAGGAAGGGGGGAGGGGGGCAGGATTAGGATAATGATGATGACCAGCAAGATGGGGGGAATGGGAAAATAAGGAAGCAATCAAGGGAAGAAGATGTAAAAGGAGAGGGAGGAGGACGTGGAGGGTTGAGCATGAGGGTGAGGGTAAGGAGGAAACGAGCGCCAACCGTCGGAAACTCAATGTCGAATATGTTGGAAGACTTTCTCTGTGTCCTGGGCTGGCCATTCGTGTCAGATCCGACGTCGTCCCGTGCCTCCCCTCTTCCTAGGCGGCAGAGGGTGCGACAGATGCTGGGGCAGAGGTGGCCCCGCGCAGGGGCCCTGCCCGACGACTGCGCAGGGAGGCCGGGGGCGGGTGGGGGGGGGCAAGAGAGACGCACGCTGCCCCTCCAGAAGCTGGTCGCTGTAGTCTCGGTGGAAGCGGTCGATGTCGCGGGGGAGGCATCGGACCTGGAGTCCGCCCCGCCGAGGGCCGCCCTCGTTCCGGCGGGCGTATGCGCAGATGCCACCCGAGGCAGGCATGGTGACCCCCTCGGGTGCGCGGTTTTCGAAACCAGGGGGGCGCGGGGTCACCAGACGCAGGCGCACAAGCCTTAGGTCGGCCGTGTCCCCCTACAGGCGGGTTTCGAATAAAGAATAGCCAAACATATTCAAGAATGATCAAAAGTAAAAGAAGGCTCGTCCCCAGACTATTTTTCATTACTTTGGAATATTCCTTCTGTAGAGGGACGTGCCCGACTTAAGAAAAGCCGCTGATATCGCCTCGCATTCCTCGATCTAGCGACCCCAGTGGGCCTTCGCTCCAAGCGGAGGTCAGCCTGGCGAAAGGCCAGCCTTGCGTGGGGGTTCTGGAGCACCTGAACCTTAAAACCTTGCCATCTCTCGGGGGCGGGGCCGAGGTCTCCTTCTGCCAGTTTCCGCCAAGCTTTCGCCGCCGGGCGTTTCGCCTTCTCCGCCTGCCGCCGGCCTTCCGCCGCCTCATCCGCCGAGGAAGTGATGACAACTCCTTCGATCCTCGAAGGCGAAGCCCTTGCTGGAACGCCTTATATGTGCCCCTCCCTCGAGCGGAACACCAGCGGCCGGCTCCTCCCCGTCTGCCCCCCCCCCCTGCGCGGGGCTCCAGGCGACCCGGCTGGTCCTGGCCAGGGAGGGGCAGTCCAGACCTCCAGAGGTCGTTCCCCGCGGGCATGGACGCAAAGATCCAGAAGCTTCGCTCCTCGGTATTCGAGCGAAGACGTCGCCAGATCTCTGACGATGCGATTGCTTCTCCCCTCGCGTATGTCCTCGATTGCGGCCCCTGGAACCCGACAGCGGGGCTGTCATAAATGAATCGTCGGCGAAAAGCTACCCCCGGGGGAGGGGTCGGGACCTCTGGGGCCTCGCATTGGAATAAAACATCATCGCCTAACTGGGCCTGGTGGATACATGAATCAGTCCGCAGGCCCAAGAAATCTCGACCCCCCTTCCCCAAGAGTAACGTTTCATCTGGGCCCGCGCTTGACAATCCATGGGCCCGAACTGGCCCTCAGAGGGCGGAGTTTAAAGAAAACGTAAGGATGTACCACAATGATTCCCTTTCAGACGCCTGAGCCCTCAAACCTCAGTCCTCCTCTTCGATGCGCGACCTTCGAACCTCGACCCGTCAGTCCTCGTCCCTTCCCCGGTCCTCGACACTCGATCTTCGAACCTCGAATTTTCCTTGTTCCTCGGCCCTCGATCTTCGAGCAACGATCTGAGATAACAAACAGATGCCGATACCGCTGCTCACCGGACCTCCCGGGGAGCGTTCTGACTAGAATATCGAAGATAATATGGCCGTGACGACGAGGGCTCCCCAGCACGAGCAGCAGCATCGGTGCGCAAACCTCCGACGCCGCGTTTTTGTTTACAACGTCGACCCTCGGAGGTCTTGACACATTTCCGGGGACTGATTGTTCATCACGAATATTCGTTTTGGAGGGCCCCAGGCCCAGCGAGGGCCCAACAAAGACCGATCGCGTTAAACATGTTCCGTAGTGGTGATGTCACGTCGCAAACATGTCAGGGCATCTGTTCCTCCCATGGCGATCCGTCCTCTGGGGACGCGGCCCTGATCGTCAGGTCCTCGAGGCGCGCCCCGCCCGCCGCCCGCACGATCGCCCGCGGCATCACCAGCAGCCGGAACGCTATGATTAGCCCAACGAAGATGGCGGACCCGAGGGCGTCCTGCAGGGGATCGAGGTTATGGCTTCGGTGCGGTCTACATACGCTGAGGCAGGCCTCGACAGAACTGGGTGGAACAGTTGTTTTTGATGGTCTGGTAAGAAGCTGGCAGTTTCGCGGCACGCAGCACTGCCGCACCGACTGAGTCACTGCCTCACCGACTGAGCGGGAGCAGCACGCGAGAAACCCAGTTCCCAGATCGTAGACAATGCACTGCGAGCAGGTGAACGGTCGAGCAGCAGCCCTGATGGGCCTTGCTTGCGGTGCGCGGCCGAAAAATTGTATTTCTAGTAGTCGAACGAAGAGAAAAAGAGTAACAGTAGCAGCAGCAGTCGCAGTAGGAGTAGAGGTGGTAGTATTCGTAATACTGGTAATAGTAGTGGTCGTTATCGTCGTCGTCGTAGTAGTCGTAATCGTAGTTGTTGTATTAGTAGTAATAATGGCAGCGGTGGTAAAAAACTCGTACTCGTAGTCGTGGTCGTAGTAGTAGTAGTAGTAGTAGTAGCCGTAGTCGTTGTAGTAGTAGTGATAGTAGTCGTAGTAGTAGTAGTAGTAGTAGTAGTAGTAGTAGTAGTAGTAGTAGTAGTAGTAGTAGTAGTACTCGTAGTAGTAGAAGTAGTAGTAGTAGTAGTAGTAGTACTCGTAGTAGTAGTAGTAGTAGTAGTAGTAGTAGTAGGAGTAGTAGCAG